TCCATTGTGTATATATACCACATTCAATTCGATTCCCAAAACCTCTCTCTAAGAATCATTGAATGTGAGTGTTTTGTGTTGTGTGTGTGTGTGTGTGTGTGTGTGTGTGTGTGTGTGTGTGCATGTGCACATGTGTGCATTTGTTAACAACTTACAGGAAAATGGAAACTGTTTAGTTAAAAGAAGTTTAACATTTTGTTTTAAGGATATTAATTTTTGCTAAATATCTCATGAATTAAATGCTGCAGCTTCCTGCATTATATGTGGCTTCCTCATAAAAAGAAAGAATATTAATAATTAAGGAACTTGTACAAGTAAATAGCTATAGTAATTAGAGAAAATAAAAGAGTTAGGTAGTTGACTAACAATATGGACATTAAAGTAAAATTTTGCTGTATTTTGGCAGCTTTGAAATAAGCAATAAGGTAAGACTAACTACATAATTAAAAGAAATGGCTACAAATTTAGAAAGGACCACACTAACTGAACTATAATTCTTTTAGAAAATATTTTAAGGATCATATTATTCAAGCCAAAATTCTATGCCTTATTGTCCACTTATCATAGAATGATGGATCCCCTACCTATCTACCACATAGTATAGATGGTGCACAGTATTCAACCAACGTGGGCCTGAAGAATACTTTCACAGCTGTTCTTCCCCAACTTCTTTTCAAATGAGGGGATTCAAAACATAGGGTCATCCTGCCACTTCACTGCAATGTAATGCCTTTGAATATAGTAGCTACAGTAAGAAGTAAAAAAAATAATAATTTGAATCCTTATGGGTGTTTATCTATCTATTATAGAAGTGGTAAGTGTGACAATTTGATGGAATAGTAACAGGGAAGTTCTAAGTGCTGGAGTGTGAAGGCAGGATGTATTTTCCAAGGACTCTCCTCAAGGCTCCCATGACCTCCTTATTTCTTAGGCTGTAGATGAGGGGATTCAAGGCTGGGGTGACAACTGTGTAGAAAAAGGAGAAGATGTTGTCCTGTTTGGGATTATGGAAGGAAATGGGAAGGACATATATAAACGAGGCTGGGCCATAGTATATGGTAACCACAGTCAGGTGGGAGGAGCAGGTGAGAAGGGCTTTTTTCCTCCCCTCCTTGGAGGGCATGCGGAGCACAGTGCACAGGATTAGCATGTAGGAGACCAGAATGGCAGCAAGTGGAGCGATCAGGAACATCACACCTATCAAATAAACCATGAGCTCAAATCTAGAGGTGTCTGCACAGGCCAACTTGAGCAGAGGTGGGATCTCACAGAACAGATGTTTTACCAGCCGGGATTTGCAGAAGGGATAGTGCATAGTGTAACTGGTATATATGATGGCACTCAGAGATGCCACAATCCATGTTGTCATCACCATGAACCAAAGGACTCTTGGATTCATGATAGTTGTATAGTTTAGAGGATGACAAATGGCCACATACCTGTCATAAGCCATAAAAGCAACGAGGATATCCTCAGCCGAACCCAGCATCAGTTCAAGCAACATCTGAAGGGCACAGCCTCCAAAGGAGATGGTGTTATCTCCACGCAGAAAATCCATGATGGCTTTGGGGGCTATAACTGATGTGAGGAGAAGGTCAAGAAGAGAAAGCTGTCTAAGCAGGAGGTACATGGGCACGTGGAGCTTCACATCCATTGTGATGAGCAGGAGCAGCAGCCCATTGCTGGTCAGGGCCAGCACATACAGCACTGTGATTGTGGCACAGAGCAGTTCAGGGAACCTGCTGTCATTCAGAATGCCCTCCAAGATGAATCCACTTCCCAAAGTGGAATTCCAGACCTCCATTCTGTGTGTCTAGAATCAGATGTCTAGTGGAAGTCTTTCTAAGGGTTTTCAGTCAATATTTGAATAGACTTAGTCCAACTAGAGGATCCAACAGCAATCTTGTGAATATCTATTCATCCCCTATGATCCCCTTGTGCTTTCTGATTTCCTGAATGTTTTCAGTGAATTATAATGATTTTTTAGTTAAACAGAGTACAGACATATTGATTATTGTTTGCCATGAAGTGTATCATATACAAAGCATCAAGTAGAATACACTCATGCATACTAGTTAAAGAGAAAGAAAACATCCCTCAATTTATAAACATAGCATTGGTGTAAAATCTAGGAGTTTCCCATCCTTTCAATCTGCTTGGAGGTACAGTTTATTTAAAATGTTTCTTTCATGAGAAACTCTTTGCCATTCTTCCTTGACCTGATGTCTGCCTTTGCTTTCCGGTCTCCAATCTCTAGGACTATGTCACTTGATCTCTAGTAGTCTTTAATAATACTCCTCTCTTGATGGTGGCATTGTTGTTCTGCTGGAGAAGACATAATTCTGAGCAAATACAAAAGGATGGGTGAGATTACTTTAAGTAATAAATTAGTAGAAAGAATATAAAAATATTTAACTTTTCAAAGTAGTGTTAAAATATTTATTCAGTTGAAGCAAAGACAGGAAACAATAGGATCTCTGGAGGCCTGTTAGCAGCTTCTGGTAGTGAAGGGTAGGTATTTAAAGTGTCAGGTTATAACACAAACATTGTGGGAATGGTAAAAGCCATCCCACTACCTAAGATTAATGTAACATTCTAAGCATGGTTATTTTCCCTCTAAATTTTAGCAATATATGGAAGAATGCTGCTCAGATGACACTGAATGTAAATGATAATACTGGTAGAAGGGTTTGAATTGGAACAATATAGGGTATGCAGTGTGCGTGCGTGTGTGTGTGTGTGTGTGTGTGTGTGTGTGTGTGTGAAAGCTTCCACTAAGCCTGCTCTCATAAATGCATTCCTAGATGTCTAGAAGACCTAAGAGGCACTGTGAAAGAGAAGTGAAAAAATATTCACTAAATTGATTATTTCTTTTGTATGTATACACATATAGACACATATATATATACACACACACACACACACAAATACATACATACACATAGGGTAAATACATATACACCCATATCTTCTGCTTCTATCATCTGAGAGAGGCCTGTAAATATACACTGGGTATGCAGAGGGTGAGCTCATTCTTGTAAAGTGTGTGGTGTAAGTAAGTTCAGGAAGGGTGAGCTTCACACTGATAAGTTTCCTCACATGCTGAGATAACTGAAAGAGCGATATGTATAATTTATGGAAATGCTCACTCTACAACAAAACTAAAATTTGAAAGTATATTTTAATTACTTTTCTTTTTGGTTTGGTATTGCTCAGTATATTAAATGATTAATTGATTTTCATTTTTCCTATTTATTGGGATTGGGTTAAAAAGGTTATTACTATGTAGACACAGGCTAAACTTGATGTATGGATCCTCTTCCCTCAGCCCCTTGAATGCTAGGACTACAGGCATCACCATGCCTGGTTTTCTTTTTTTGTTTTTGTTTTGTTTGTTTTGTCAGTTGTGGGGCTTGAATTCTGGGCCTGGGCACTGTCCCTGAGCTCTTCAGCTCAAGGCCAGCACTCTAGCACTTGAGCCACAGCTCCATTTCTGGTTTTCTGGTAGTTAATTGGGGATAAGAGTCTCATGGACACTTCTGCCTGGGCTGGCTTTGAACTGGGATCCTCAGATCTCAGCCTCTTGAGTAGCTAGGGTTACAGGCGTGAGCCACCAGCACCCAGTACCATGCCTGTTTTTAATTGGCTTTTGTGATATATATTCACCAAGTAGTTATGTAAGAGATAGAAGCTCAAACTAATGTACTGATACGGTTAAGTGATAGTTCTCTTTTGAGGTACTATTCAAGGAGTTATTAACAGACTAGTAGAGTCTAGGGAAATGCAGATGCACCCAAAGTATTGAGACTTAAAAAAACAACACGGTAGTTGGGCTTGAACTCAGAGCCCTGGGGCTTCCTTGGTTCATTTGCTCATGCTGGTCTTCTACCTGTTCTGTCATGCTTTCAGCCCAGCTTTTCACAGTATAGTTTCAGTCTAGTGGACATTTCTATCTAGTCTGTTTGTCAGCCTTTTGAGAAGCTGGGATTTATAAGCAGGAGCCCTTTGAACCAAGCATGAAATGAGCATTTTACCCAAAAATCATGATCAGGAATTTTAGAAACTTAGGTCTGGTCAATAGTATTGAATATTGCAGTTGCCCACTCCTGCATGAGGTACTGAGATGCCTGCACCAATACAGGTGCATGTCTCTGTAATCAATCACCCGGAGTACAGATGGGAGCAAGTGCGCTCTGAAGTCTGAGAAATGAGACAGTCTGAGAGTAAGACAGTAATTCTTGGCTCTGTTACCCAAGATTCACTGCCTTCACACACTTTCTAGGATCAAACACATAACCCTTACCTCTAAAGAGGAAAGATACAGCCTTCGGCTCACACCCGTGTCCTGGGAGTCATTTGTGAGGTGAAGCGGCTAAAGATGCTGAGGAAAGAGAAGGTGCTTCTTCTGAGGGGGAGGGTGTGGGTGGGCATGGCTGCCACTAAGATCAGAGGTCAAAGGCACCTGCTGTGTCCACCATGGCCAGTTCTCTCTGAGGAAAGGGATGGATGCAGGTAATGATCTGAGAATCCAGGCAGGTGGCTGGGGAAGCCCAAAGTTGATTTCTCTCAGAATGTCCTCATCCAATCTCTGTTCCCAGCTCTGCACTGTTCATGGATGAGGATGAGTCCATGTGCCCAGACTTTCATATTCCCTCCCAGCTGCAGTCACTAATGACAGAGGTGGCTGGTAGGACTTTTGGAAAGGAGAATGGTCAGGGATACTCAAAGGAAGCCTTCCATTGTTTATTATTACTGTGTCAGAGGAGGAGGGACTCTGGCCTTGTCCTGGGGGACTTCTTACTGTCTTCTCCTCCCTTGTGTCATGGGCTCCCAAGAAAAAAAAAAACTTCTGGAAGTTGGATTTTAATGAGTCTCCCTGGGCTGGTGCCCTGGGCTATCATTTGAGCAAACATCACTATGAAATTAGTTCTTACTTGATGAATGGTTTTGTCCCTTCTGATCTGGCTAAGGGTGACCCTGAACAAAGAAATGTTTTCAACCTCTGGCCCTTTAGCATGGGTCCCTGTCCTTCATTCTAAGAAACATAGAGTCTCATGTCTGTGTTAGTACCCCACTCTCTGAATCCATCCCCTTGTCTACTTTCTGTGATGTTACCTGCTTGAGGTGTTGATGGTGTGCTTTTGGTAACCTCAGGCCTCCCTTAACTGACCTTTGGACGATATGTAATCCTGATGTAATGGGTGCTCTTTTGTTTCCTGCCTTTACCCTGTAATACATTTGCAAAAGTGTGCCTTTAGCTCTGTATCTGTGACCAGAGGATGAAACGTGGCCGAGCTCAGGATGATGATACAGCTGCAGCCCTTGGGTTTCATGCCCCGGGTTTCACTCACTTTTTCTCTTTTTACAGACAGCTCTTCATTGCTCAGCATTGAGTCTCCCTTCAGTCAATCTCCTCAGCAGGCAAGGATGAAAAACACATGCTGATATTTCCCTATCTTTTAAATTAAATACAAAATTTCACATATTGATTATGAAATGCATATATTCTCTAAGGAACTGCAGACACACAACAGAAATGATTCATTTTTTTTAATTAAAGAAGGAACAACTATGTTGAGATGATGTATCTTTAGGTTACTTCTAATTGATTCCTTCATTACTACCATTCCAGTCTCCTACACATTAATTCTTTTCAGTGTGATCCACATAGCCTGAAAAGGGAAGCTTTACATCCTTGTAACCTGGTCTTCCTGCCTGGCTGGGTTTAGGGTATATTATGGGTCTGACCTGCCCAGCTCACCCCACAGTCCCAACAATACAGCATCATCTCTTGTTTCTTCTTCGTTATCAATCCAGAAATGAACCCCTCCTTCTACAGCTGGAGGAATAAAAGAGATATTGGGGATTTGGAGGAGGGTCCTGATAAAACAGATTTCTGGCACACCCTACCCTGTAGGCAGACCTCAGTGGCTTCCACAATTGATGCTTCCTCAAAGCCAGAAGACATGATTCAGTAATAGTCATGGTACAACCAGTCTAGTGATAGAATAATGTGGGAATGTGACTGGTTGGGTAAGATACATTTGAAACTTCTCTCCCAGAAGATGTACGTTTCATGGTTTAGCATTAATCTTCACTCTTGAAAATTTAGTCTCTATTTTGCCATATAGCTACTTAAAAGGGTCTATTGTATATCACCAGCTTGGTCATGAGCATTCTAATCTGAATTGAATCAGTTGAAGACTTTAGGATAGTAGCCCTCATCTAGGCTCAGGTATCATTGGAGAAGAGTTGAGAGTTGTACGAATTGCAAAACTGTCATATGACAGTGACAAGTTTGGCTCTATCCTACTGTAGGGGATTCCAAGTATTTTGTTTTCATCATCTTCACCTTTTTCTCTGGTATCAGCCCTCAAATTTACTCTAACAGGTGTCATTGCTTGTATTCTGCTGATATTTGCGTTTTGTATTTCACATGGGAATTATTTTATTGTGCTTAAAATTCAAATGTTGAAGAGATGTAACTCCATAAACAGGAACTATGGTTGACTTTTATGCTTTTTTTTTGTCAGCTGTGGGGCCTGAACTCTGGGCCTAGGTGCTGTCCCTCACCTCTTCAGCTCAAGACCAGTGCTTTACCACTTAAGCCACAGCACCACTTCCGGCTTTTTCTGTTTATGAGGTGCTGAGGAATCGAACCCAGTTCTTCATGTATGCGAGGCAAGCACTCTACCACTGAGCCACCTTCCCAGCCCCATATGCTTGTTATTTTTATTTATTAATACATTATTTTATTGTGAAAATACCATACAGATGGGTTACAATTATATGAGCAAGGTAATG